CCCCAAAACCCCAAAACCCCAAAACCCCAAAACCCCAGAGTGCTTCTCGCTGATTGAAATCTGAAAGTCAACTAATTAATTCTGAATATTTCTGAGATTTGTTTCGACAGAATGAATGAAGTCGGACTATATATAGCTACAAATGCACAGATCACTGATGCAAATCATGCCCCAAGTAAGTGCTTGTACGGGAAGTAGAATGAAATGGGGATGGAGATGAACTCTGCCTGTTGTACGGTCATAGTCCAGCCTACAAATGTCCCTACTATGATTCCTAGACATGAACTTGCGAATACCAAGACGAAAGTCTCGTAGAAATACAGTCTTTTAATCATGAACTTTGTGAAACCTATCGCTCTCAAAACTCCTATCTCTTTTGTCTGTTCCATCATGTTAGCTGATGCAGAAGAGATCAAGGAGAAGAGACATAAGAACATACTAAGAGAAATTATCACATTGAAGATGACATCTAAGATCTCTTTAACTTCTTGGATGTCCTTTTCAGCATCATAGACCGACATCACACGAGTGTAGCTCTTTAGATTTTCTATAACATAATCTGCATATTTTGGATCTGTGAGAGTCAGGAATCAATACTTCACATGGAAGCTATGCATATCAGGGCGTGCCTTTCTATAATGATCGGTAAGTAATCAGAATACTAACAATTTGCCATAACTAAGTGGTGCCACATAGCCAAGGTTATATTAAGCTTCCTCAGCTTTAGTCACATACCTGTATATAAACTCTTTTGTAGGAAAAGAAACGAGTATTTCAATATTTCTGGTAAGTTTCCTTTTCCCAAGTTTTATCCCTGGAACTGCATCCAAGATGAAATCTGTTTTGAATTTAAAGAAGAAGTTCTGAGAATTATCGTCAAAGTATTGGACGTTTAACAGAAATGAATTATGATCCTCTCCTTTGTCTGTAAAGATATGCATTTTCTTAGCAAAATAAGAACCGATCCCAGCTCCATGAGCTCCTTCTTTAGTGTAGAGCTGTTCACTCAGAGATAATGCAGAGTCACTAGCATAGTTTATTTCAATATAATCTTGCCTCATTGAGTCAAAGAGTGTAGGAGAAATTGCTATCAGCTGGATTGGCTGAGAGAAATACCTCGAATTAGGAGTTGCGTACATATTGCTAAAGACCCATCCGTTCATACTGTGACTCTTGTATCCGAAATCTTTGATCTTTTCAGAATTTTGGGCAATAAATGGTTCTATTTCATAGACATTAACACCCCAGGACCCTCCAACTCTGATGTCATTCCAAAATCTGGTCTTAATGAGTGTGGCATTTTGGATTTGCAAGCTATACGAAACTACACACAATATCAAGAAACTCAGGGATAAAGCATACACTAGCGTTGTTGATGCATTTCTGACTCTGTGAGCGATCAAATTTTTAAGGATCAAGATTCTGATGAAGCTTCTTTCCCACCAGAACAAACTCTTTGTGATCCCAACCTCAATAACATACTGTAGATTCATGGTGATGAGGATAAGCCCAAGCAGGAGACCTATCAGGATCAGGAAGAAAATCGCGAGGATTGTTCCAAAATCAAGAGCCATAAGGCACTGAGGCAGGAGTACATATATCGTAATTCCGTAGATAGTAGAAATAACACCGAAGATGAGCACGATTCCTAAATTTTTATTCGAAGGATCGATTATCTTCACAATCACTCCTTTTGTCTGAGAATGCTCAAAATCTAGGGCATCATTAAGATTCTTTGATAAAGCAGCCTTTATAGGAATCAAAGAACTAATGAATGGGATTACCAATCCTAGTATAATGGCGTTGATGATAGCGAAGTATGTCGGATTCGGGTCCATTTTTAAATTTAGCTTCTTCTCAAATTCAAAGTAGTAAATAGCCCTCAGTACGAAGAACGATCAGAAGAATGCAAAAATTATACCAGGAGTTGAGAAACAGAATGTCTGGATAATTACATCTTTAATTAGGCCAAACTTTGAGGATCCGACCATTCTTTTGATTCCATTTTCAAAACTTTTCTGCTGAACGTTGACTAACAGGAGACCATATATCAGGATGATACTAATGACAACGAATAAGGCAAGAATCATCGAGAAGAGAAGGGCCATAAACAATATTGCCAAGTTGAAAGCTTGAAGCTGTCCTAGCAGTGGAAGTTTAATGTCAACCGTATAATACCCCAACTCCTGTGAAATAGAAGTCATTTCATAAAGCGAAGCCTCAAGTAATTTGTTATAGTCTGGATTCTTGTAATAGTTCAGCCTTGGCTCTGGGAAAGTCATCAGAAGTATTGATGCATAATCATAAGGACTCTGTGTCTCAAGGAAGTCAAAAATAATTCCCTTTGTAGCTTTAGGGACGAATTTATATTCTTCTTGAGAAAGCAACACCTTGAGTGAATCCTTTATGTATTCAAACATGTATTCATATTCAAGAATAATGATGTCTTCAATAAGGTAGTCATCCATTTTTCCAAGTGGCTCCTTCAAGACGTATTTAATGGTTCATTCTAATGGAATTAGTGGAGCGTCGGAGAAGTCTACAACTGGAAATGAAGAATTTACGAACATCTTAGTAGCTAAGATATTTAGATGCTGAGTAGCATCAAAGATCAAAATAGTTCTCTCATTCAGCTGGAAACCATTTTCATCCATGAGTTTCTTAGACATGACTCATTCATCCTTCTTTAGCTTAGGGAACTTGTAATTCCTACCAAGGCCTATGCTCGATGGTTAATATAAATACCAAAAGATCTGACTTTCAAGAATAAAGAAATGAAGGAAGAAATAAGTACCACCATTGACAGGAGGAAATTTGAATTTTCATAAAAATGTAACGATAATTCCTGACAAATATTTCAAATAATTTCCTAAATTTCTGGTGCAATGAATCAAAAATGTTCTAACAACCAATTAAAATGATATTTTTGAAGAAGAAAACTTGAGCTAGCAGGGAAAGTAAGTTTAGAATATACACAAAGCTTATGCTGAATGTAGAATTAGAACCCATTGCTTTTGATCCCGTATTAGATGCTTGAAAAACAGAAGATGTGATAAATTAGAGAAAAAACATACGATTAATATAATAAATGGCACGCAGAGAATAAAAACTCCAATATTATAAGTAGACAGTAAAGAAGGTAGATAACTAAGATGACTCTCTGAAGACTAATCCAGAAATTGCAAAGTCTCAATTATAAGGCTTCAATTGAAACCTCAAAGGACAAAATGTAGGGATTTTTAATCAAAAACAAACCCTAAACAGGTGTTAAAATATAGTGATTCCTACAGTGATACTTAAAGTAAGCCAGCATTTCTGAATTATCTTTTATAGTTTCAGGATATGCTGCCAACAAGTAGGAAGGACAAATTTGTTTAAGACCTAATTCATCGGTTCAAGCTTTTCTTATAATTGAGGATTCCTCTTTAACTATCTAAGCTATTCTTTCTCTCTAATATGTGATTTAGTTGCTATCTCAAAGAAAAGAGTCATATCTCTGTTTAACAGAGTGTAAACTCTCTGCTAAGATTTTTGAAATGAATATGTGCCAATGATATAAATTTGAGACTAAGTTGTACTATTCCCTCACGCCTGAAGAGAAGACTTACTTATCTGTCTTTCTCTGTCGGTATCCATAAACATCACATTATGGTTGAGCTCAGGTGGCCTATTGGTGCCAATTTTCTGAAGATCAGTCCTTAGTAAGTTTCTTGGCGTGAAGTTGATATCAGGAAGTTCCTCCATCACAGCTGTGTAGTTCAGCGTGGCCATCACTTGTCTAGAGTCCTGCCCTTTTCCAACTGTCTTTACACCCCGAGAAGGTGTGATGAAGGCATCTATTTCTCCTGAGTTCTTTTCTGCCAATCTGAGGAAGATTATAGGGGCTTTGTCGATAACTGAATTAACAACTAAACACATCAGAACTACGATGAAGATTGATAAAGTGCTGATGAGAAAATGGCATTTATGCCTGAAGATATCCTTTATATTGCTTTGAAGGTAGAAATAACTTTGTTGGAAGATTGATTGATGCAAACTTGTCCCTTTCTGAAGCATGAGTACTTCCTCTATTTCAAGAGGAACAAATCCTTTGGTTGATTGGAGTTCTCCTTCACTTGAACTGGATGGAGAATTTACTTTGTGAATCTTTTGCTCTTTCATTTTCCCTAAAAATTAGATTCTTTCCAAAATTTATGTTGAGTCCATCAAAGAACATTTAAACTACAGCATCAAAACATCACAGATCTTTTCCAACCTCTTTCTAATATCTAAATCTCTTATAGCACCTCTTCCCCACAAACTCTGCTAAATATCTTCCCTTGAGTCTGCTCATGTTTCCTTTCAGATCCCTAATCCCCATCACTAATGTTTCTTGGGCATTCAGAGTCTTGCTCTGGTTGCCTTTAAAATCTCTTATGACCCAATATCGACACTTGGCAAACAACTAAGCAACTTGGCTTGGGCATGGTTCCCATTTTGGCTTACCTCTCAATTAATAATATAGACCCAGGGGTTTTGGGGTTTTGGGGTTTTGGGG